AATTGGTAACTGAAAATTGGGAAGAGCAACTTGAAAAGACATTGGGGGACCAGTGCAAGGAGAAGTACTCATTTCCTTCCCCAAAAGAGAAGTGCACATTTCCTTCCAGCCTTTAGCAAAGGCAGTAATGAGTATTCTCCACAGTAGAATCAGTTCATATTTTCAAATCAAGGGGGCAGTGCAATGACTTACATATCCTACTTTTTTCTTACTTGTTGTGAATTATGCTCAGAATTAGGCTTAGCGGAACTATAATTCCTCTTAATAGGGAATAAAATCCCGGGACCTTTGGTTCTTCCTTTTTCTTCATCTCCTCTTTCTTCACCATGTCATTTTACAACATATGTACGCATGCAGCCGGCCACCCAGTTCACCCGTTTTCTTTCCCCAGCAGCCCTCACCCTGAGGTTAGTTTAGGCATCTGTAAACAGCCTTCCTTGTAGGTAGCTCGTATCGCATGCAGAGAATTCTACCTGTCTGTCCATCAGAGGTAGCTTGCTAACAAACTGTCCCAAAGTTTGGGCTCAGCTTGGTTTTCCATTGTGTTTGTTCACTGCCCTTTGCCTCAGGAAAAGTGAGCTGCCTGCTTTTCCAGGTCGCACCCAAATCTCTTATTTCACTAATCCTTTCGTGCCTTTTTCTCTGCTCAGGAATTACCTTTTCTTCTGCCTGTCAAAATCTTGCATTCATCTATAGAATCTCTTTTAATGGTTTTCTAAAGCCTACATGATACATTGCAAGTTGTATTGCATTTAAAAAGTATTTAGCCCTTTTGTTGTTTTCAGTTTTATATACGACATATCAGTGAAATCATATGGTTCTCGACTTTTTCTGTCTTATTTATTTCGCTTAGCATAATAATCTCAAGATCCATCCATGTTGTCGCAAGTGATACTATTTCATCTTTTCTTATGGTTGAATAGTATTCCATTGTGTATATATACCACGACTTCTTTATCTAATCATCTCCCCAATAAACTTTAATTAAAAAAAAAGTATTCAGTCAATGGCTTTAAAAATTCTACATGATTCAGCAGCATTATTTTACTTTCAAATATCTTACACAGAAGCATGCACATATATGTATATAAACACACATATGTATGTGTGAGTATAATATACATATACATAATTTTGTTGGAATTGATTTGCCAACTTCATATTGATAATATTTACTTTCACAAAGCCAATCTGTGAGAACACCGATGACTAAATTTGCTATTGATATTATGAATGATAGATATAGCCTGATGTTGATTTTTATTTATTCATGCTTTTTTGTTTTTATTTAACAGCATTTAGGAATTGACTTATGTGCATGTAGTTAAATTACAGCTTTTTAAGATTCATTTCGCGTTTTGGACAAATTTGTCAATAAGCAGGGATGGCAGAGAAGTTTATTCTAATATCTGCATAGAAACAAATGAGGAATGGCCGTTAAATTATTGCAGGATTTCATTGTGTTAAAACTTACTAAATATGTTTGAGCTCATTTTAAAAACTTTAGGATAGATTTTGAAAAACAGAAAAGTTATGAAGATTGTACAGTTTCCACATATACCACATCCATTTCCCTCCTATTATTAAATGTTGATACATTATTATTATGTAAAGTCCATATTTTGCTTAGATTTCCTTGGATTTTGCCATTTTTTTTAGAGTTAAACTACATTTTAAGAATGAAATTTGAATAAAATAATGGAAATATCAAAACACTCCACGGATTCTTTTGTTTCTGTGGAATACAGCAAAAACTCCTTTTGTTTTAGCCTCTTCTATTGGCTGTCACCCTAAGCCACCGTTTTTCAAATTTTGTTTCTCAAGAAAGAATTACTTTTTTTTTGGTTCCCTAAATCCATTGTGTTGGTAATGTTGCATGCCCGTGTTAGCTCTCTGTCTGGTGGTCTCATTTTCTCCTTGTCCAGCTAGTAAACTTTGGTTAATCCCTTAAAATCTAGAGTAAGGACCATCCTCTCTGTAGCTCCATTCCTAAAGATGCTAATAATCTGCCTCCCTTGGTTTTAATATCAACCCTTTTGTCTAACTGAACACTCAAATTTCCATTCTGTTTTGTTTGATTTATTATTTCATTTCTCATTTGACTAAATTTAATACAGTTTCCATATCGTTTATATAGACATGATATACAGAATTTGAGAACTATATTTAACACAAGAGAAATTCTATAAAATTTGATAGCTAGAACAAGGAATTTTCTGGTGTGTGTACGTGTGCGCATGAGTGTGCATGTGTGTGTGTGTGTACACATTCAAGTATAAGATAGTTCCTTATTTTTTTTCCCAAAGTCAACTTAGTAGAAATGAGCTGAATTTAACCATTGTAACCAAGAGACTTTTTAGCTGATTATTTTAAGCTTTATAATTTATTACAATAAGCTTTGCTGTTAAAATAACTGGATTTTTTTAGGATTGATAAAATGAATACTAGTTACATATTTTTTGTGTGAATTCAATTTAATTAGCACTTTGATCATGAGCGCTGATAATAACACCCAAGTGGGTCACTGTTGATTTTTTGTTATTCCTGTTACCCTCTCTTGATTCAAATTGCTGCTACTTTATAGCTCTTTAAAGTTTCCAGTAGTTGTAAAAAGAGGAAGAGGAGGAGTTTTGGGTTTTTTTCTGTTTGATTTTGACTACTTGTAATGCAGAATAGCTGCAGACTGCCCGGGGAGGGTTTTCTGTGGGACTAATTATCCCTGTAAAATCTTCCTTCCCTCCGAGTGGGTTATGAGAGTATGATGACATATTTATATACCAATTTATCAAGGTAAGAAATAAATGCAGCTTATATAATTCTTTTCAATGGCCCTGCAAATGATGTTTGTCTAATTGAAAGTGGACTGGAAAACAGAAAAAAAGATGATTAAATTTATTGTTCAGAATAGCAGTAAGCTTACGTGGATACTGCTGTGTATATCAAACAGTCATTGGTTCCTTTGTCATCTCATTCAATCTTGACAGAAATCTGTCTGCATTGTAGCTAAAGCATTGTTATCTTCATTAATAGTAGAGGGAACTCAAAGTTAGAGAGATTAGGAAGCTTAACTCCTAAGATTATACAACCAGTATGCTTTAGGAGAGACCCGAAACTCAAATCTCAAAGGAAACTGGACTAACTTTCCTCACAACCAATTGGGTTATGTATTGTTTGAACACTTAATATTGACCAGGTGATATGCTGGGTTTGGGGATTCACAGCTGAAAAGACATCTACTTCCTTATAATAAACAGCCAAGTTGCAAAAATATGAACTCCACTCCCCCTGTCCCCTTGCTCTGACTGGTATAGAAACAGTAGGGCTGGGAGGTGCCAAAATGTTGGAAATAATAGGAGATTTTTAAAAAGCAAATTTGGGGGCGTGAATTATGGAGGAAACTTTTACACTGCCCATTGTAATTAGTCTTAAGAACTGACAAATACCTGAACCAAGGCACTGGTGGCAGAATTAGTGAGGATGGGACATGTATGGGACAGGTTTGAGTTATATTTGGTGAGAATTTTAATAGTAGTTAAGAAATGATTGGATATTGGGAATGAAGAAATGTGAGGAGTTGAGGAAAGCTGTTTTTATTTCTGTTCTTTAAAATAGGGAGTGATGGAGTATTCAGGTAAGATAAGGGGGAAGGAGTAACCAGTTATATTTTCTCAGCATAAATGTCCTTTCTTTCTCCTACCCTCCATTGGCATCAGTTACATCCTTGCCTAAGTTTAAGCCTTGATTTCTCTACCTGTATTTTTCTTCTCTGAGTCAGTATTACAATTCGGAGGCAGAATCTGTTTTCCTTGGAAAAGGGGAAATTTTCAGGGATACTCCCCAGAAATAGGATCCTTTTGTCAGTAAATTCAAGGGGATGTGAACTGGTCACCAAAACCTTATAGACATTAGACGACCATTAAGGAGCAGAAACAATATGAGGATAGAAAAGAAAAGTTGGTGTTTTATCAAATGGAGGACAGTACTTGAGGCTGAATGACACGTACCACCCTCCTAGCTACCCCAGCACCAGGAACCCCTTTTCTTCCAGTGAGCCCCTTAGGCTGCGAACCCTACTAGCAATGCTGTCAACAGCAGTTAGAGCAGTCGGGCTGACTTCATCTTGGAATGGCCTGGGGAATTGTGGGGAAGGAAGGGTTTTGGTTTCAAAGAATGAGGTAAGGAAAGGAAAATGTTGGATACAAATAAAAGCTGTGGGCTTGAGGAAGAGTGTGGATATTTGGTAATGATACAGTATTGCTTCTTGAGCAGATTCTACTTGATTCAGGGAGGAAGACAAAGAACCCTGTGGCCGCCTGGCCCTGTTGCTTACTTAGTTTGACCTGTCAGTTTTGCTACCTGAAAGGAATCATGGACTGAATAAAGGCAAAAAAAGCTTCCTCACCTGCTGCCTGACGTACGTTGACCATAAAGCCTGCCCTATACCCCGTGCTTTCCGCTAGTGCAGGAATGAGGATTCAATATTTGTCCGCACCTTCCATCGCTTCTACAAAGCTCCCCCTTAAAATACCCACTTGATTTTCAACTTGTCTACAGAATTTTGCTTTAAAAATAGATGATTGATCTTAAGAGGAAAACATTTGTAAAATAAAAAACTGTTTTCATGAGGGTTCCCTGAATGTCCACCCAAAGAATTCCTTTAAATTTTAGCTCATGTAACAATAAAAATAACATGGATAATCTGGGATTTAATAAAACCAAGGGAGGGTCTCATTCAAAAAAAAATGTGTAACTGTGATCCATAGCACAAACAAATAATATTTCAACAACAATATGTAATTCTTAATAAAAGGAGAGTATTATAGACATATTTTCCATTGGTTGGCTATCCTATTAGTTAGCTGTTCTGTTGATCAGAAACTCAGATTGCTGTAAATTACCAATCAGGCTAGATTTTTATGACAGCCTCTGTTGTATACTTACATGCATACTCTGTACCATTTTCCATTAAGGATAAAGTATTTGGGGAAAATACCACTAACCTTTATGGGAGAGCAGTTTGTCAAATGATTCAGCCCATATTACTGCTTCTTCAGGGGAGACTCTGTTCAAGAAACAAAATGTTTTATAATGCAGGGTGCAGAAAGCCTGTTTCTGAATTTGCTCCAACATATGCTATCAGACTGCTGTTGCCAGTCAGACTTCACAACGTTTCTTTTTTGATTATTATATAATGAACGTTGTATTTACATTGGAAACTTCAAAAAGCATTGCTCAACCTTCTTTTCGGTTTTGCCTTTGATTGTCTTCTAAGGAAGAATTAATCATGTGTTAGGTTGAAAACAAAGAAAAAAATTCAGGTCAATTATCTTTCTTAATTCAGCAAATAGAAGAACCTAAACTGGCAGTATCTTTGAGACAAGCTTTTTTTTTTTTTACTGCAATTTCCTTGAAACTCTTACCACAATACGCAGCATTTTTTTTTTAAACAGATACAGGAAGCTTGTCTAATGAGGTTTTAAAGGCATAAGAAATAGAAAACTTTTTTAATATAACAAATATTTTAGCAATATAGAGAGTTGAATATATTTGTCTTGGGTCTCTTGTTGGTCATATTTCATATTTGGAAGAGTTTGTATTATACAAGTATATAAGGCTGTTCAATTTTCTCTTAGAATTAAAAAAATGACTGAAAATTACAAAACACCCCTTTTTGTGCTTTACTTGCTATTATATGGAGGACATTTTTTTTCATACTTTGAGGGAACAGGAATAGCTCTTCTCTCTGACAGTATTGCATTGTGAAAACTCTGAAATTAATGACTGTTTCATTGGTTTATAAGGAGTAAGCGATATCATTTAGAATTGACAGGTCTGTAATTTTAAAAGAGCACCTTGAAATTTTTATAAGATTATTTAATTCAAGCTATTACAGTGGTTAAATTTTATGGAATATTCCTAGTCTTTTGATATGAGATCTCTACCTTTCTTATATTACTGTATAATTTCCAATAAAATGGAAATCCCTAATTTCCTCTTTCTTAAATTTGTAATGATAGAATCAGCAATATCTCACCTCCCAAATAGCTAAAAGTTATTCACCTTGTTTCTTTGGTGAAGTGCCCAGATCTACTGGAATGGGTCTCTTCATGAAACTCAGGTTTCTGCAAAAGGAGACTTAGCCGGTTTCTTTTTTCCTTAGCTCTGTAATGAAAAGGTATTAGCTTCAGGGAAATTTGGATGGCAGTTAGAATCTCCCCTTCTGACTCTCAAATTTAGAATTGGTAGTCACTGATCACCCCTTTTCACCAATCCCCCCCCACTCCCACAACACACAAGTTTTTTTAAACAGTTTTCTTAAAGTATTTACTTTAAATACTATGTTTGTGGAGGAGTTAGGATAGCATATGTAAAATATATTTGGTGTTTCCTCAGTGACTGCAAAATAGTTGAGATTCTATTTCAATAAAGATTATTAATAGCCCTGTGTGGTTCACACTGTTGCACTTTAAAAAAAAAAAAGGAAACACTTTAGATTTAACGGTTGTTTACTCCCTCCTGATAAGCTTTGTTTCTCACTTGTAACAGTACAGTCAATATACTTTCACCAGATAGTTTAAAAACAAAGGCTAACGAATATCCATCAACAGTGTTTCTAAAAGTATAAGGCAGATTTTTAAAAATATGATTTTTTTTTACCTGATTTTGGCTTCTTTGCTTGTTTCTTCTTTTGCTGCACCGTGTATTAACTTAAAAAAAGTTTTTTCTTTTGATTCGCACATATTTAAGTGAGAAAAGAATATCAAGGATGTTTCCATCTTCTCCCTCTACGATGAAGAGATATCTAATTTATGACATCCTTCACTTGTTAATGCTATCCAAGAGATACACATGGTCAGAAAAAAAGTTGCCTCAACTCTACCAGCAATGCTTAACATTCGAAAAACAGAAAAGATAAAAGTTCCAAGAGCTGTGGTTCTGTCTCTGTAGAGACAGAAAAATGTAGAACTGAGGAACTGAAGTACAACTCTGTGCTGAGCTGTTTAGGGAAATGATACTACGCATTTGCAAAATGACTCTTGGTCTCTTAGATAAAGACGAGTATTACCACAGGGCGACTTCTCTTCCTAGCGTGTGTAGCCAGAACGACGCTTTTCCGGACCCAAAGAACAGTTTCATCATCTCCCACACGGACTCTTTGAAACGTTTTTAATATGTGTGGTGTGTGTTAAAATGTGGCAAAGTACCACTTCTAACCTTAGAAGCTATTTTCCCTGGCCCTTAAAAAAGTATATTTACCTATTTTAATTACACTGAATTAATTAAATTAAGATTTGATTGACATAATGCAATAGAAAGTCAATTACTTGCTTAACATAAAGTATCAAATTGAAAATGTATTAATAGATCATAGAATTTTATAGTTGAGAGGAACAGTAGAAAACATTGAATTCCGTAATATTTAAGCACAGGCCCATGGAATGATTTTAGACATTTACCAGTCCATGATGAAAATGGGGAAAAAAAAAAGACATGTGATTTGCCTTTTTATTATCCAAATGTTATTTTCAGTGAAATATTTAATCTGGAAATGGCAGTTTGTATGTTAGTTTATTTTATGTCCTTATTAAAAAAATAAAACAAAACAAAAACGGCAGCTCTAAGTTGGTTCAACCTCTGCTTTAGTAACATTTTCATGAAACCCAAATATCCGAGAAATACGAACCTAGTCCATAGCTCATATTTTATAGAAAAAGAAAGCAAGGGTTACAGGTATTAAGTGATTTATTCTGACAAAGTCCCAGAGGTCAGTGGAAAAGATGGTCTGGGATCATCAGAGCCTTGCTTACCCCTAGTGAATGCTGTAGCTCCTCTAAAATTGTACATATCAAAAAGCAAGTTGACAAATCTAAACATTTATTTTGTTTTCAGTCTTTTCAAATTATTGATGTTAGGAAGACAATTATCAGGGATACCAGCTAGGAGGCTCAAAACATTGACAGAATTGAAATTAAAGAATATTTACTATGTATTTATACGCACTCCCTTCTGACCCTATAAATTTTATTTTGAACATATTTTTAAATTCACCTTGGCTGAAAATTGACTTAAAAAACATTATACCTGAGAGCATTTTATGGCAAGTTCATAAGAAACAGAGGCTGCTAATGCTGATAAACGCTTCCACCTTGATGTCCCCTAGTATTTAGTAGCATTCACTATATTTATATGAGGTTTAATCTGTGGAAAAATGGGGACAAACATTGATGTCATCCGTTCCTAAGACTATGTGAGTTACTAAGATGCGGAGGAGGGGGTGACATAAACTTACTGAACTATTTTTCATAAGATTTGTTGAAATTGTGTGCAAGACGTGCTATCCCCAAGCTGGTGGAACTACAGAGAGAGATATTGGGAAAATCCAGACACAAGTAGATGACACTGGAGGCCTGTACAAAGGTCTGCCGGCGGATTGGGCGGTATGTGCGTTTACACTGTGTGCGCGGATGGCGAAAGCAGGCCAGGGAGGAGAGAGTAGATGCTGCACCGTCACTTTAGTTAATGATCGTTCTTTCCGGCGTAGCTGTCTTGTAAAAAAAAAAAAAAAATATATATATAAAAAAAAATATATATATATATATATATATATATATATATATATTAATTTTAATTAGAAAGAGGAGTCTTTTACATTTACCCACACGCTTACCATTCCCAGCTCTCTTCATTCCTTGGAGCAGACCTGTTTTCACCTGGTCTTGCAACAAGTTGCCTTCAATGTGGGAGGGACACTGGTGGGCGTTGCAGGCGCTCCCCCAGGGCTCCCTGCACAGCCCGCACATGTCAGCAGATGCCCGCCGGAGGCCTGTCCTTCTCCACGTCAGGAAGATGGGCCGAGGACACGGTGATCCGCGTTGACATGTGAACGGCTGCCTCTGCCGTAGGTCCCTGCAGGCACATCTGTGAGGGGAAAGACGGGCGCTGAGCCCGCAGTAAATTAAAAACCCAGGCACCCAAGTGAGGTCTGGGGTAAGACGCTTGTTGTCCCCGAAGATGTGTTTGATAAGACACAGCCTGTCCGCCGGCAAGACTATAAAGGAGGTGCGGCCTCTGCAGGGGTTTGGGGCGTGGAGGACTTTGATTCCCCACCTGGTGGAGGGGGCACGTGTGGGCCTGGGAGCCGGCGCCTTTGAGAAGGTGAGATCCTGGGAAAGCCGGTTACAGCTCGGGCATCTCCCAGGAAGAGCCACCGTGTGAGTCAGACGCGTCTGGACTCTGGATGGCACAGTGGCAGAGACAACGGAAGGAGAGCGGGGCCCTAGGATTTCTGGTCCCAGCTCTGGAAGGGGTCAGGAACCCCATGTACTCCCATAGAGTGACAGGTCCTGGCAGTGTCCAGGGTTCCCCAGGTGGAGGCTCTCCGAAGGCCTGGACCACAGCAGCCGGTGGGTGGCGCTCAGGGCAGTTTGGCTGGTGACCGCCGTGGGCCCTGGCTGTTACCCTTTGCATAGACAGTGCGCTGTTCCAACGTGATTCACCCGATGGCTTGGCCAGTGGGACGCCCAGGGGTAGATGATTCATGAGTCGGCGCTTATGGGGTCAGGGTATGTGGCGAGACCTTTTTCTCCAGTGAGAGAGAAGAGGGAACCCTGTAGACATCAGTAAACTCACAAGCAGAGAGGGGGATCTGAGGAGCATTTTCCCAGCCAGAAGCTCTCGGGCCCTTGCACATAACCTTTGGGAAGGCCTGGGGGTTATAAAATCATATTTCAGTTTTAACTGTGCCAGTGATACACAGTGAGCATGTCATTTAATTCTTTTTATTCTTTTGTTTTTTTGGTTTGTTTGTTTGTTTGTTTGTTTGTTTGTTTGTTTTAGCTGAGCCATCCTGCCACCTGTTGGCAACTCAGCAGCAGCTCAGCTCGGGCTGGGAATCGAACCAGAGACCCTGTTGCTCAGAGCTTGCACTCTTGAGCAAGCTCTTAACCAACTGAGCCACTCGGCCCTTAATTCTTCTTCTTCTTGATTCTCAACTGTGGGTTGAAATTCATCTGTGTCTTTAAGTCTATGAATTTACAAAAGCAAGTTTTTCAATCCCTTTGGATATGTTGAATGATGTTTTATATTTGACAGTGACATAAAAAATTAAAATCTATTGCAGTATAAGAGGAAAATGGAAATAGATTGGGTCAGTATGTAAAGCTTGAAATTCTCGTTTTGGCAAATGCTGGGATGTGGTATTCTCACTGACCTATATATAGCATTTCCGAGGTGTGTAATTCATGATCTGACCCATGGTTTCCTGATGACAGAGCAAAAATATTGACCTACCTTAAATTGTTCAAGTAATTTTATTAAATAATATAATTGCTACTCTTTTCTTTGTCATTGTTGGTCAAATTAAATCTTCACATGGAGCACAAGTTTTTCTGTAATATATTTATTAGTGTATATGTGCTTAGAGTCAAAGAGAAAAATTACTACAAAACCAATGATTTTTTTCCCACTGCTATTTTCTTTGACTCGTTCAAGCTTTCTTGATCATTTTTGTAAGAGGTCTTACTGCTGTTAGTCCGATATTCTAATGTGAGTAATTTGTACTTTCGTGGGAAGGAGGATCTTATGAAGGCTTTGCTGGTGTGGAGCCTGCACCTAATCTCACTCAGATCTATATTTATAGTGTTTGCTTCTCTGTTCACCTTCCTGCAGTAAAACCATCCAATCCCCTTAGAAAAGTCTGTTTACCCAATAAATGTTCACTTACCCACTGATTATATGAAATACATCCCGTATTTATATATGCACCTTTATCTAAGCACGTTTTCCCCTTAGAATTCCTAACCCCGTGGATTATCTCTTTCTCAGCGCAGGGCACCACCACTTTACCTCCCAGCCATGGCTTCATCAGCCTGGGGGATGAGACTGGACTCACCAGGATGGCTGGGAAAGGAAGACAGGGATTCCATTTAGCATGGGAACACAGCTACGGTCGGGCGAAGTAAAGGCAGCCTTAGTGGTGGTGAGATGGGTGTGCCTCGTAATTCTTCCATTTCGAGGTTGCACTGGAAAGAGTTCACCGTTTTTCTTTCCCCCACACCTGGAATTGTCAAAGCCTTCCATCCTCTTCCATAACTCCATGAGGCCGGGGGTGGAGAAAAAGAACAAGTCAGGTCCTGGGAGAGGGTTGGAGGAGTTTAGAGACTTAGGGTATCCTTAGGGGAATGGAGAAGAGAGAGGTGGGGAGAGAGAGACAGAGACAGAGACAGAAAGAGAGAGACAGACAGACAGACAGACACACCCTGGGCTCTCTTTTATGCCAATTGAGGACATAGATAATAACCTGATAGGCAAATGGAAAATATGTATATTATTTTATTAAATGAAAATAGAGATCAAGAAGGGAAGTTACATCTGTGATACATCAACAACATGCCCATCGTTTTGCATATATGTTCACATTTCATCTTTAGACAACATTGCAAGAAAGCCCCACCCTCAGCCCACTTGCACATGTGCATGGTGCTTGAGCGAGGCCCCTGATGTGCCCTGAGGCCACTGCTAAGATGGGCGACACCCACACTGGTTTCTCCAGCTCCACTAATTGCTTGACTTCAAACTCTTTCTAAAATAATTTTTTTTTAGATGAAGTTAAAGTTATTAACATTTTTTTTTGTGTTATAAAAATGTTATTTTCCTAAAGGCAATAATTTTAATTTTCTTTCTTTTCCCCAAATCCCACTCTATTCACATCTATTTCATTTATCCCGATGAAATTACTAATATGATTTTGCTAGGCCAGCATGTTGAAATGCAAGTTAAATGACTTGGAATTAAAAGATATGCATGAACATTTCCTGGGGAATTTTAATATTGCCTACATTCCCAGTTCTTTATGGATTTGCAAGAAGGTATCATATCACTTAAGCTTCTCGCTGGTTTTATTAGGAAAACAAAATCTCTTCTCTATCACTTTCTTCTCATGTTAGGAAAACAAAACAAAAACAAAAACAAAACACACACTCTCCTTAAAGACCACCATTGTCAGTT